AAATCATCACAGCAAACTCCGCTGAAGGATGCCCACTAGAAAGACCTATCAAAGAATTAACATTCTCAACAGCACTTAACTGTCTTAACCACTGCCTCATATTCCTAGGAAGAACTGGGTCTTAAGGGACTAGCGAAATGGCTCAGCAGTTAAGAGCACTTAGTGCTCTTCCAGAGAAGCAGGGCTTAATTCCCAGAACTCACACTGGGTTGCTCACAACCGCCTGTTACTACAGCTCTATGGGAGCTGGCCCCTGGGGGTACCTGCACTCATGTGCACACTAGCACATACACAGACACAAATAATTAAAAATAAGATAACGATTTTTATATTGTTGGGGCCTTAGGAAGAGTTACATATACCCTTCTGATGTGTCCCATCACTCAGAGTTTTTGTTTGTTTATTTGTTTTTGTTCTGGTTTTTTTTTTTTTGAGACAGTCTTTATAGTTTTGTACTAGACCAAGTTGGCCTTGAACTCACAGTTGTCTTCCAAGTGCTGGGATTAAAAGCTTGGGCTACCTTGGCCAGATCCCTAGGATTTTATAAACACATATCTGTCAGACACTCCAGATTTTTTTCTACACCTTCATATTGACTCCTTGCAAAATGAAAGCATATGTTCATACACACACACACACACACACACACAGATTGCACACTAAAAAGGATAGAAAGAGTGTAATCTGGATCCAAATATGGGTAATGGAGGTGTAGGAACACTCACTTGCATTAGCCCAAATTCCAACATGATATTTTCCTTTCTTGTTTTTGTTTTTTTTCTTAAAGATTCATTTATTTATTTTATGTTTATGAGTGTTCTCTTTTTGTGCACACCAGAAGAGGACTACAGATCAATGTATAGATGGTTGTGAGCCATCATGTGGTTGTTGGGAATTAAACTCAGGACCTCTGCAAGAGCAGCCAGGGCTCTTAACCGCTGAACCATCTCTCCAGCTGGATGTTTTTCTAATAACAGAACAAAGTAACTTTTTTTTAAAAATCAAGACATTTTTCAAACATGTTGGTAGAAACATCAGGGAGATGTGTTCCAGAACAGCAGACAATCTCAGTTAGAGGCCTCCCCTGTCCCCTGACGGCCCTTTATAACCATTGGGTTGGGGGAGGCTAGTGCTCTGTCTATACACTCTAAAAGATTTACCTACCAGACACCAACATGCTAAGTCACACACAGAGGAGGGAAGTAGGTGGTTTTAAGGGAGCTACAGATGACCCAGGGTGAGCAACAGAGTCTGGATCTGCGTCATTCCAAACTACACAACCAATGAGGTTCCCGGTGGTTCTCAATCTGGGGGTCACATCAGATATCCTACATATCAGATAATTACATTATAATTTATAGCAGTAGCAAAATTACAGTTATGAAGCAGCAGTGAAAATAATTTTATGGCAGGGGGTCACCACATAAAGAACTGTATTAAAGGGTTGCAACGATGAGAAGTTTGGAAACCTTGGTCAATCGCCTCCCAGAAGGTATAGTCCTTTTCAGAAACTTTCATTCACAGTCAAAACAGCGAGTTCAGAGGGCTGTCAGTCTGAGATCTGGGAGGTTTCTAGAGAGAAAAGGGAGCCCCGTTCCCAACAACTAACCTATACACAATACCCCTTCCAGAGCTAAGGGAATAAGAATATACTTAATCATGAAAACAAGGACCTCAACATGGAACATGGATGAAAACAAGGAACTAGGTTTAGAGACATGGTTCAGCGGTTAAGAGCACTGGCTGCTCTTCCAGAGGTCCTGAGTTCAATTCCCAGTACCCTCACGGTGGCTCACAACCATCTGTAATGGGATCTAATGCCCTCTTCTGGCATGCAGGTGTACATGCAGATAGAGCACTCATATAAATAAATCTTTTTTAAAAAAGAAAGAAAAGAAAGGAAGAGAAGAGAAAAAAAAACCTATTGGTACTCTGTGGATGGACTTCAAAACAAACAACGTAAGTATAAACTAAGTGGTTTCAATGCATAGGAATGTCTGGAAAAAACACAAACTACTCGACAGCAATTGAAGAGCGGTGGCTCAGGGGAAGCCCTGGAAGAGAGTGGATACCCGGTGGCACAAGGAGAGGTCAGAGCTGATGTTCCTAATCCATGCTGATGGATTTCTAAGAGAGTCACTCGTCCCACCATGTCACTGGGGTGTTAGGGTCAGAGCCTAGGCCCTGGCAGCCCTGACAAGCCTGGCTCGGCCACCTGCTCTCTATACACCAGCTAAAGAGACAAGTCACAGCAGACGGGCTGGGGAGAGGGCTCCGAGGTTCAGAGCACTTACTGCTCTTGCAGAGAATCTGAATTTGGCTCCAGCATCCATATCAGGCTCACAACAACTGTAACTCCAGTTCCAGGGGATGCAACGGTCCCTTTCGGCCTCCATGGTAGCTACATGCATACAGTGCACATTGCACATAAACCTGTGCACCCACACACGCGCGCGCGTGCACATACACACACGTGTACACAAATACAAACACGCGCACACACACATGCACGCACGTGCACACATACAAACGTGCGGGCACACACACATACACACACGCGCACACACATACAAACGTGCGGGCGCACATACAAACGCACGGGCACACACACATGCACGCGCACACACACATGCACACACATGCGCGCACGCATGCACACACACAAATAAATAAATCATTTTTAAAATTAAAACAGCAGAATACAAGCAAGGCGATTTGCTCAATACAGCCTTACTGGGAAGAGAAACGAATTAGTCCAAGATTCTCCAAGTCCATCTTCTGGAACCTAATAGGCGGCTCAGGGTTAAACAGAGGGCAAGAGGAATGCCTTACTAAACAAGGTGGTCTGGCGAGTTGTCAGAACGGTGTGAAATCTTTCCAGGAGACAAATTTCTCTTCTGGCTGGCAGCAGACCTCAGCCTTTTCCTTCTCCTCACATGCCTTTCCTGGGGAAATTCTGGTTTCTTGGGGTTCATTGTTTCAATAGCCAGATAGCCCCAGGGAAGGGACACAGTGACTCCCTTTAGAATACCTTCTCTCCTGTTAAGATGGTTACAACTGTACACTTTATGTATGTGCAGTCCAGTGTATGTGACATTTATCTGGGCGGCTTTTGTTGTCGTTGTTAATATAACAATAGGTCAGGCAGTCTGGTGCCTCCGGCAGACAGGGAGCAGAGGGACAGTGGTGCCAAAGCCTTTGCCCCGGAGCCCATCACAGCCATGCTCACAGAGCACAGGGCACAGAAAGCGCTGCAAGGGCGTGGAGCAAGGAGGACCCATGTTAATTATTACCCGTGGCCACCGGATCTCTGCCCCGCCCCCGTGGTGACCCGCTGCCTGCCGGCCGCTCTTTCCCTCGCTGCCGCCACCTGCTTCCCGCACTGGACATGGTAAGCGTAGGAAGTCTGGTGAACCCTGAGAAGGGGCCGGGAAGCGGGGACTAAGGCTCCGATGCTGGGGGTGCTGGTCACGCTGAGCCTCCCGCAGCGCCATCCAGCTGGGCTAGAGTCGCCTGGCTTCCCTTAGGGGCGCTGGAGTGCAGATATAGGAGGTGGCGGTGGCGGTGGGCCTGGAAGCCTAGCCTATCCCGACTCCCAGGCCCCGTGTGCTGGCGGGCTCTGGCGGGGTGTGGCAGCAAGGCAGGTCTCTGTGGCGCTGTCCTGGCCATACAGGCTAGCTGGTCCCTTGGGGTGCCAGACTGGGGGGCGGGAGGGGGTGAGCTCAGTTCTCTCTATTCCTCAGTGCTGTCCCCGGCCTTACGCCCCGCCCTAACATCTGGTTAGGGTGCTGTGTCCTACCTTGGCGTGGGGGTGGGTCCCTGGACCTCCCTGCAACCCTCACCAAACAGTGAGGTTCCGGTTCTCTGTACTCCTTCGGGGATGGGAGGGTGTTTTGGGTGTTTTGGCAGCAGAGGGTGTTTTGGTCGCTGGGGACCAAAGACACCACAGGCTTGGATAATCAGTAATCTCTCAACCCCCACTAACAGAGGCTGACAGAGCTTCGCTAAGCAAATAAGGCCCTTACCCCCTGACCCGAGTTCAGAACGTTATCAGCCTGAGACTTGGTTCTGGAAAATTCTAACGAGAAATACCTCCTAACACACACACGCACACGCACACACACGCGCGCGCACACACACACACACACACACACACTTCTGGTGCCTTGTTGATACGTGGTTGCCTGGTTACAAGGGTCCAGCTTATCAGCCACTGAAGGGCCATTGGGGGAAGGATTCCCCCCCCCTCATTAAGCACAGTGCAGATCTCTGCACTGAGGTGGAGTCCCTTGTTCCTGAGAGCACACACACCGGTGATGGTTCTGTAGGCCCCACTGCTGGCCAGAGACTCATCTTGTCCTAGGAAGTGCTGTTTGAATGAAGCTGACTTTCACTTTATAACCTTGCTCAAGTATTCCCACCGGCATCTCTTAGTCTAAGGGGTGGGTCTCAGCCCTTTACCCATGGCCCACTCACCCCAGGGTACTGAATTGATGGGTGACTTGCAGGGCACAGTTCACCGTCTTCCAGTTCCCTAAGCCAAATCTGAGTGATTGTCAGTTGAACACTGTGTCCCAGGGTGATTTCATTTCACAGTCCTTGCTTGTTAGACTCACAGCCCCTCGTTCCTCTAGAGGATAGAAATGACGATAACTCATGTTTTCTGAGGGTCCTCTCAGGACCTGACCTTGTGTGTGCTGACGGTCACACCATGGGCACTTTTCACCACAGGCTAATGAGCGTGCCAGGTGCCCTTGACAGACTACTTCCTTTATGCGTCTGGGCCCTGAGGTCCTAGGTTCCTGAGACAGCGGCCCCAAGAGCCTCACCCTGACAGCTGTGGACTACACAGGGGAATGGAGGAGGTGGCAGAGACTCTTCTGGGAATGTGTTTGAATGGGTTTCTGCATCCAGCCCCAGGGCTACAGCAGTAAGAGATCACACCTTGGGTCGGTGACGTCACATGACGTCACTGACTGAGGATGACTGGCGAAGAGCAGACAGCTCACATCCCTTTTCTCTGGGCCTGTTTCTTCTCTAGAACACCTGAACGTTGCAGAATGGGTTTGGGGATGGAGCACAGAGGGAATGCAGAAAAATGGGGATGCCAGGAAGAACATATTGTAAGGCATTGGAATTGGGGTGAATTTTGCTTTCACCGCCTTGGGAACAGGAGGGTGCACTCACTTACATGAGAAGATGAAGGCAGGCATCTATCTGTGAGGCTTTGGGAGCAAGAGTTAGGGGAGCACTTCTTCTCACTACAACACATTCTCTTTGGCATTCTCTATGAAAACAGGTACAAAACCCAAGATCTGGGCTGCAGACCCGGCTTAGTTTGCGAAGTGCTTTCAAGTATGAAGTCCGGAGTTCTCATTCCCAGAAACCACACTTAAAACCCTGTCATGATAGTGTGTGCTTGGAATCCCAGCACTGAGGGAGGCAGAGACAGATGGATCTCTGAGGCTCCATGGCCAGCCTGCATAGCCTACTTGGTGAGAGACCATGTCCAAAAAAATAAAGAGGGAACCAAAAAAATAAAGGGGGACTGGAAATTTGCTCAGAGGTTGAGAACATTGACTCCTACGTCAAAGGACCTGGACTTGAGTGTCAGCACTATCGTGGCAGTTCCCAACTGCCTGTGACTCCAGTTCTAGGATATCCAACACTCTCTTCTGGCCTCTGCAGGGACCAGACACATAGGTGGCACATAGCACAGACTTCTGTGAAGACAAAACATTAAATTAAAAAATTAAATTAAGGGACTGGAGAGATGGTTCAGCAGTTAAGAGCACTGGCTGCTCTTCCAGAGGTCCTGAGTTCAATTCCCAGCAACCACATGGTGGCTCACAACCATCTGTAATGGGATCTGATGACCTCTTCTGGCAGGCAGATATATATGCAGCATATATTAAATACAATTTTTAAAAAATTAAATTAAAATAAAGATAAATGATATCCAAACAATAACATCTAAGGTTGTCCTTTGGCTTCCACATGCATACATATACACCCTTACTTGAACCCACCCACACAAACACATACACCAAAACAAACAAAATACACAAAACACAAAAACCCAAAACAAAACAAAACAAAAATAGGACCCATTGTGTATCAGTAAGCAGGCCCAGAGCCCACCTCCTGGCAGGGCACCTGAATCCACTGCAGCCAGCACTGGCTGAATTTCTCCCAAAGGTCTGACCTGTAAAAGGAATGGCCTGGGGCCTCTCTGCTCTCCCTCTTCCAGGCCGGCAAGGCACACAGGCTGAGCGCTGAGGAGCGGGAGCAGCTGCTGCCAAACCTGAGGGCTGTAGGGTGGAATGAAGTGGAAGGCCGAGACGCCATTTTCAAGCAGTTCCATTTTAAAGACTTCAACCGGGTATGTGGAGCGGGCCCGAGCGGGCCGCACTCTGTGTGTTCATGTCATGTCCTGTTAGCCAGGGGGAAAGACAGTTCCAAGTGACCTGCAAAGAGAAGGGCCTTGGATCTTCCCTTCTGGAACTCAGAAGTCTTTGGAGGAGACAGTCCGGGTAGCAAGTGCCTGCCCTTTTGAAAGCACTTTAATAAGCGGCAAAGAATTGGCAAATACTGATAGCCTGTGCTGTGTGTATGCACCACACTGGGGATGCTTGAGACACTAACACAGGCATCAGAACCAGGGGCAGGATGTTACAGGAGGGACTTAGAGCTCTGGGACTCCCTGGAAGAAGCTAGGCTATCCTCCTGCATCAAGGCTTTATTGGCCATAACCCATTGGCTCTTCCTTCTTTTTATCAGGCTTTTGGCTTCATGACTAGAGTCGCCCTTCAGGCTGAAAAGCTGGACCACCATCCCGAGTGGTTTAACGTGTACAACAAGGTGAGTGAAGTTGTCCCCCGTGTTGTGCCCTGCCCCGTACATCTCTTAGAATCCCAAGTCTCTCCCAAAGGTTCATCCTTGGACTGTAGGTCCTTCCTCACCAATCAGTTGCCGTCCACCTCTTCTATCTCCTTCCTAGAGCCAACAGAGACTTCTTCACAGAAAGTCTCACTGAAGATATTAAATGCAACTTAAAACACTTTAACATGCTGTGGCCAGACTCAGGAAGGGAAAGGCAAGGGAAGGGCAGTCTCACTGTTAACGACACTAATGGCTTTATTCTAGACGGAAGAATGAGAGAGCAATAAAACCAAATTCAGATACCCGTGCATGGCTGGCAGATCAGACTGGGATAAACATGCTAACGGCTGGACTGTTTAGGAAAGGGTGAAGGATGTGTTTAGGAGCCCACCTTAAGTTCTGATTTTAACATTGGCTTTAAAAAACTTTTTTTTAAAGAATTATTTATTTAATGTATATGAGTACACTGTAGCTGTCTTCAGACACACCAGAAGAAGGCAGCAGATCCCATTACAGATGGTTGTGAGCCACCATGTGGTTGCTGGGAATTGAACTCAGGACCTCTGGAAGAGCAGTCAGTACTCTTAACCTCTGAGCCATCTCTCCAGCCTTGGATTTGAATTTTTATCCCATTATTGAAATCATCATTATTTTTAGAAACTATCAAGGGAAAATGATGTGTACCACCTATCTTGGAGCAGTCAGGAAAGCAGTGACCAGCTACTGTCTTGAGGAATGACTAGCATCCAGTTCCTGTCACCAGAAGCAATTATAGTGACTGGCTACTATCCTCTAGTCCCCTGTAGAGCGGAGCCCGTAGCTGGTGGCTCTCTTGCTCTTCCTGGGAGGGCACTTGCCTGCCCCTGAACTTCCTGTTTCCTCTTACTCAGGTCCATATCACCTTGAGCACCCACGAATGTGCTGGCCTTTCAGAACGGGATATAAACCTGGCCAGCTTCATCGAACAAGTCGCTGTGTCTATGACATAGATCTACCCTGTCTCTTATCTCCTTGGGGGAAGGAGTGACTGGAGGAGGAGCCTAGGAGGCTGACCCTTGCTCCCTGACTCTTGCAGTGAAGACCACCGGCTTCAGGGATGAGTCCCTCCCTGTACAGAATAATGTCTGTGTCAAAGGCAGGGACTGAGACCTTTCCCCATGCCACTCCTCACTGGGGCTGTCATGTTACACTAACTTGAATAAGCTCTCCCTTTTTCTGTAGAGTTCTCAGCCTCAGTAGTATTCCAGACTGTTTCTTGATCCTTTTATATCGTTTCTAGTTCATTTTCCAAGTAGCTGTGATAAAGCATGACATAAAGTCCAATTCAGATCCTACTACTAAAACAAGCTCCAATATATTATAGAAACATGTGCTTTTATGCCTCCAATAAAACTACGCTATCAATGGGCTCAGCTTCTAGAACCTTCTTTTCCACAGGTCACGCCGAACCGGAATCTATCACGTTTGATTTTGAGGGGTCTGATCTGTTTTTGTGGCTCTGGGGATCAGACCCATGGCTTTCCTTGCACGTGCTCAGCCAACTAAGGCACTGAACCTGTCCTCAACCAAGATGCAATTGAATGGAGGCTCTTACTCTGGGTAGGAGGCCAGGCAGGGTCATGGTGTTGAGGGAAAGGGAGAGGGCGGTGCTCTATCTTCAGGGTCATTGTCATATGACGTGTTTGTTCAGACAGGAAGACCATGAACTGTTACTAGACAAGATGAGATGTAAGCTAAGGGGACACCAGGAAGTGACTAGGGTGACAAGGAAGGATGCCAGTTATACCTCAGAGACCAGAACTGCTGCTGGGCATCAGCAGGAGGGCAATGTGGAAATAGCATGTGGACACACATCTAAAACAGGCAGCCTACCACCATTATTTTCCTCCTCCTGCTATCACGGCTAATTCTGTATGCACGAGCCTAGATATGCCATGAGGTACCAGACATTAGATCAGACAGGATTCTGGGTATGTTGGGACAAAGGGGTTCTGGATGAGGTTAAGCTTTGAATTGGTCCTAAGTATAGCACATTGCTCTAATATAGGTGAGCTCCATTCAATCCGTTGAAGAAGCCTTCAACTAAGCAAAAAGGCTGCCAATCCTCCTTCAGCTAGAACTCTGGACTCCTGTTTGAGCTGGGATGTCAGTACTTCCCTGACTTCATGGGTCTTGGGCTCTAGGCTGGAACTCCTCATCTAGCTAGCCAATGTGACTTCCATTATCACTGGAACCAGTCCCTCATCGGAAGTCCCCTTCTGTGTATACTGATCATTTCCAACATACTTTCTAATACAATGAGACCAAAACCATTTTAAGCTCTCTGGTTCTGACAGCTACAATTCTTAGATCTTAGGGCTTGCCTGTTGCTACTCTACAGAGAGGACACAAGGTAGTGAGGGATTGATGGACTATTTGCTACTACTGGGAGCCAAGGATCTCATCTTCATCTGTGCGCCACCAGATACCCAGAGCAAGAGACAGAGCACCCTTCCCCACTGTAGTCCTCATCGATGGCCTCTGGCCTGGAGCCCAGGCAGCCTGGGTAAGTTCATCTCCTAGGGCCAGAAGAGGCAGAGGTTGGCTCTGCATTGACAATCTGTCCCCAGAGCTTAACAAAACCACCCAGACTTAAGACAGTGGCATCATCTGTTCCACTTCAGACAATGTCCCCAAGTGTGCTCGGATCTATCACCTGAGTATATGGGACAAAGACAGAAAACATGGTGGATCTGACTTTGTTAATGGCCTTCCTGTTCTAATTATGGATTTGGATTTGAAAACTCCAACCCAGGTGGCTCCACATCTGTATGAGGCACATCTATCTACAAATGACAGAAAACAGCTTTTAGACACCATTTTGTTTGTTTGTTTGTTTGTTTTGTTTTTTTCTCAAATCAACCCAGGTAACTAAAGTTCTAAACAGAGACAAGGTGAAATGACAATCACACAAAAATCACAAGAGGAAGGAAGGCCTGAATAACCATAGCTAGAAAAGGCTGTCAAACTGGGCCTGATGACACAGGCCTGGAAGCTACCTACTTAGGAGGCCGAGGTAGCAAAATTACAAGTTCAACTGAGCAAGAATCTATCTCAAAATAAAAAATACAAAATAAAATAGGGCTGGGAACATAGCTCAGGACATTTACCCACTATGCTTGTGGCTCTAGGTTCAAAACCCAGTATCACATGGGGAAAAACAAGATTGTTAAAGCCTGACTTTTGTCCACCCAAACTATAGTTGGTGGCATGACAGCTTTTGTCACTACCAGGTCTAGCTGAGGCAACTCAGTACTATCAAGAACTACATAGAAGACCAAGTTATGCAACCATCAGCATCTCAGCTGCTGTTTGAGTTCAGCCAGGTCTTCCCAGGGTGTACTGGTGATTGAATGCCTTAAGTCACATACTTATTGCGCATCTTCAAGTATACTGGTAATGACTTTGTGGTTTTTGGTGACCAGGGATCTAGGCCATTTGTCAGGAACCTTTGGAAAGATTCTGGCAAAGCTAGAATGCCCCAAAAGCTCACTGGTATTAAAGTTAGACTACCTGAACCATTGGAAGCCTTTTTCTTATGTGACATCCAGCACTTTGAGTGATACAGCCCCCAATCGAAATGACGAGTTTTTGACTGGTCAGACAGAGCCATGTGGTTCAGTTGGTAGGTGACCATCCAAGGCAGCTAATCCATCAGTGTGGGAAAACTCTGCTAATTAAGGTCAAAGTCCATCACAACCGGGTAGACTCTGGGCTTGGAGCAAAATGGAGACTCCCTTGTTAGCAGGTTTTCTCCTTTCTGACCTTGTGCAGGGGATTCTAAGTCCCCACACTCACCTCTGAGAAGTTATAAAAACCTGAAGTTCTCTATGCTAATGGGGTATCTAGCTAGGCCTTGAGTGTTCAGCCAATGAGCTTCCCTTCCTGGGCATTCCCTCCCACAAAGAGTATTTACCCTGGTTCACCCTAAGTAAGGTACATACAGTCACATTCACCATCAAATAAAGCAGTATGAGCAAGCAAGGACCTTCCAGAGAAGGCCTTCCTTATTATGACCCATCCACACTCTTGGCACTCACTCAGAACCAAACCTGGATCCGCCCCGTTCTGGGCTCAGGGACATCCTGAGAAGTATAGACTGGGGACCCAGTATAACGCCCAGTGGTATGCCAGGGGCACCTGGGTACACAGGAGACTGGAAACCACAACAATCTTCCCATACTCCACTGTTTCCCACCTTGGAAAACACAGACTGAGAACCCCCATTATGGACTGTGTTCTGTCTCTCCTGAGCTGTGTGCCCACAATGCTCTGAACACCCCAGTGGTCAGGCAAACAGGCAGGCCAGCATATCAGTATATTCTGGTAGAATGGAGAGAGGAGTTCAGGGCCGAGGCTCCAGGGAAGGGCCGAGATTATAGATCTCTCCAGACAGACATAATCACAGCTCCTAGAGACAACTAAGCTCCCACCTGAAGTGTCTCATGGATACTATTGCAGGTGTGTCACAATTTAAATGTCTCCAGAGGAAGGGGCGATGGGGTAATGCTCACCAGTTTCCCATTCAGCAACTGCTGTATTTATGATCTATATGAAAAAATGCAACCATTCAATGATTACAGTTTGGGATGTTTATTATTCAATTGCTTTTGAAGAGTTATTGCTGCAGTTAGGAAAGACATGGAAATGGTGGGGACATGAGAGGAGACAAAACAGATTTCGAAGAGGCAAGTACCATTTTCCAAGTATAAAACTGGTCATATTAAAAGTGACACGGCAGTATAGTCACATGACTACCTACATCTACTACAGAAACAAGACAGACAAGACAGTGCAGAGTTTGCAGAAGCTACTGTGGCACCTACTAAGCCACATGATACCATGACACTAGACACCCTACCCACTCCTGTCACCAGCTAGCCACGGCATGCACACATAAACACACAATGAAAGTCTTAAGTCACACTAAGGTTCCTAATCATGAATTAAAATGGCTGCAGCAGGTCCCTCTGAAAAATACCAGCACCCCACGCCAGTGCTACCACAAAGGAAGGGAGCGACTTGGTCCCTGGCTCTGCTGAGACTATAAAGGATGCTTCTCCATTTTAGCCACTGGCAAGACAGTGGTGCCTGCTGGGTGGTCCCTGGACCTCTCCAGCGTGAAACATTGTAAGCCCAGAGACAAGTACTGCGTAGCCCTAACCACTGGAAGTGTGTGAGCTCAGGAACTCAGTCTCTCTCTGACACACATCAACACCAACCATCCCTGAGCCTCACAGTGCACTATAGAGCATACAGAAGGAAGTGGACACATGCACATGACTGCAATGAGCCAGCTGGTAATAGCTATGGGGTCAGAACAGTGCTGAAGACCACTTCCCAAGGAGGGTGAGGAGAGTCTGGTGGTTTGGCTCTCCCAGCCAGCAATACTCAGGCTGAATACTCAGGAATCCCTGAGAAGGGGAAGGAACAAAGCATGGCTTCTGGTGATTAGTCCCAAATTCTCTCCTACAAACAGACACACCTCAAAGAGTGGTCCATTTCTGCCAGGGCCTGGGTGAGGAGTTAGCTTGTTACTCACTGATGGGAAGAAAGGCACATGGTATGGTCATCAGAGCAGGACAGGGGCTCGGCCTACCTCAGAGCCCCCAATCCCTAAAAGGGAGAAGCAAATGGGAAGTTGGCCAGGGATTGGTCCTGTCCCTGGATAGCCCTGGGCAATCAGTCATGAAGGAATCCCAGGCCCCAAGTGTAATAGCTGTAGCCATCCCTTTCTACTCCAAAATGCCTCTTGCCCTATGCTGCTTCCTTTCAGTGGGGCCTGAGGAACGTCCAGTACCTGAAGCTAAAATGGCGTCGTACCTTTGGAAGCTGAATAAAGGGAGGGAAGGAGCAGGAAGAAGACACTGATGGAGTAAGCGTCCTCTGCACATCTTCACACCCACTGAGGAAGTCAAGGACACTTGTGGAGTGTTTTCTTCATTAAAAACAGATTCTCACTACATGAAGGCTTAAGGCAATGCTGAAGGGGAAGACCACCAACCACCTGTGCACGACGTAGGTGCTTACCTATGCTGCCGTTCAGGAAAATATGGGAAAGGGTCTAGTTTTGGCTCCTCTGGCCCAGGAGAGATCTACTCCTCCATCCAGAGAGGCAGCGCCAATAGCCAGAAAGCCCTAGATTCTCTGAACAACATGTTCATTTCCTACCCTACAGCAATAAGAAAAAACAAGTGTGAATATCACTGCCAACAAGCATCTCCAAAGATGGCAGCAGCCATAGTCATGCATAAGGTAATGGAGCACTTCAAACCCTGCCACGGGAATATACTCCAGTCATTTTAAAAAAAAAAAAGAGGCCAGTAGACTGGTCAACCTGTGCTTGGAAAAGTAAAGCAAGTTGTAATGACAGTGATCCTGAGAGACAAGCAGCTTCTCCTGAAGCAGAGGCTGAAATCTCCCCCTGCGTGGGATAGACTAACACCCACCTGGGGAACACAGTACATAAACGCCTCCTTCCTGACAGCCAGAACAGTCCACTGAGGTAGCAGAGACACCCTCTTGCTATCTCACACTTTTTCCCTAAGCAATCAAGACAGGTCAGAGTCACCACACAATGATTAAGTGAAGACGATGCTAAAGACGTTAGAGAAAAATATGGTTAAAACAATTTCCAGGGTAACATTAATAACCAAGGCAGACCCATTATGCAGTGGAATCCTTCAGGGTCTTCAAACTAAAAGCCCCAAAAGGAAACAACGGAGTCCTGAGGCTGAAGCTATCTTACGGTTTGTCCTAATGTGCTCCAAGGAGCCAGTCCAGACGTCAAGTTGTGTGTGGTCTGTTCCAAATGCCAAGAACCTTCTGAAGGCCTGAAGCTCCATGGGTCAAAGTTCAGCGGGGCTTTGGAGAACCGTTCATCTGGCTGTCCTGAGTCACAGGGTCTGTACTGTAAAGGCTGTCCAGGAAGACGGAGGATATTTCTGCAACCATCTTCCTGTCAATGGTTGCCTGGGCCATGCCGTAGATGGCACCCTGCGAATCCAAGCAGGGGTGTATTATTAGTGATGTAAACAGCTGCCATTCTCGGCCATTCCCATGCACCTAGCCCCCATTCCCAGCCCAGGCAGCCTTCCATCAGACAAGCAGCTGCCACAGGATGTTTGTCACAGGTACTTTTCCGCCTGCCTTCCAAGTAAAGGAACCACTCTGGATTTACTGTCTTCTTTAAAAAAAAAAAAAAAAAAACTAGAGTGTTTATCTCCTTTTCTGTGTCAAAAGTTTCTTTTCAAACACAGGATGACAGCAACCCTGCTTCTACTCAGCAGCTCCTGCTTTCTGTCTCACCTGAGATGCCTAACAAGCCCAGAGCAGGGACCAGCAGCATTAACTGCTGAGGAGTTGTGCACACTGAGCTGAGGCAGAAACAGACTCCAAACAGTATGACAGGCTCCCACACCACTCCTCATGTTTCTAAGCAGGGATGCCCTGGCATTCTTTAAGATAGATTTATTTATTTATTTATTTATCTATCTATTTATTTATTTAATATATGTGAGTACACTGTTGCTGTCTTCAGAAGAGGGCATGAGATCCCATTACAGATGGTTGTGAGCCACCATGTGGGTGCTGGGAATTGAACCCAGGTCCATCTGGAAGAGCAGTCAGTGCTCTTGACCACTGAGCCATCCCTCTAGCCTCCCTGGTATTCTTACCATTCCTGTAGTCTTAGCTTTAGGATTCTTCATGATTTGTGTGACTGATTCTCGGATATCCTTTAGGAACTGGATTGCCACTCGCTTCCGAGTATGTACTGACGTAATGCAGAAATGAATGCTATGGGAGAAAGGAGAGGGACAGATCTTGAGAAAGAAAGAAACCCTAAAGTAAAGCCACTCCAGTGGAGGGATGCACTGGCTGACTCTCCACACTGCTGTTATTTCCAGTCCTGGGAGTCAGGCTCAAATCTATGGGTTTTACTCCAGGAGATCAGGATTTTGTTTTTTGGCATGAACAAGAACCACCTTAACAAAATAAACATGGCTAGTAGCTGTCTGTCCTGTCTCCATCCCACAAACTGTCAATGGTGGCTGCTTACATTGTGTGTGAGCAATGAAGAGTAAGATGTTTCATCTTAGAGAGTAAGCCCTGGTGGGGAGAAAACCGCAGAGCTGGAGTCCTGAGGGACCTCGATGCTCTTAAGAAGCCCTAACTCACTCTGGGGAAGGAGGGAGTTGGAAAGTAGGCGGTAGATGAGTACAGACCCTTCTAGCTGGAGGGAAATATTAAGTCAGAAAAGCCTATTGAAGGGTACGTCAGGCCTGCATGATCAGAAACCCTTTAGAGGGCTTTGAGGGAACATCAACACACATGAATGGTATCTTAGAGAAGCAAGCTGATAGGTATAGACAAGATAGATCACAGAATACGGAGGCCACAGAAAGAACAGAAAAACTTGTTCTACCTGAGCTTACAGCAAACCACCTTGTTTGTTCTATCAACTCAAGTTGCTACCAGTGTGCTCGGCCCTAGAAGCTAAGCATCAGGTTACCTTGTACCTCAGCTCTTCAGGCCATGAAATGGAGGGAGGGGCTTTAGGCATTACCTTTTAGGGAACTGCAAGTAGTTAAAATTCCACCCCTTAGCAGACATCATATTAGATAGTCGGTAGATGTCAAAATCATTGGATCCCAGAGCAAGAACTGACAATTGAGGATTCCCCAAAATGAAGATGTTTTTGATGTTTTCCAGTCTAAAAAAAAAAAAAGCAAATGCAAAAATTGAGCATATCCATTCCACCGGTCTGCATCTCAGTTGATGATCACAGCCTACTCTCCTGGGACTAGACTTGTCTCTTACACCGGCTAGGCTGGGTGGGTTTTATGGAGATCAGACTCCCAGACAGAACATCAGGAATTTTCCAAGTCCCAAACTCCATCCAGAACCACTGGCTTTTCCCAGTCTACCCCACTCCTAAGTCACAGCACAGAATGGACACTTCTCTTCGACCAGCACCACTTGGTAAGGGGCTGGTCTAAATTCTAGTCTATCAGGAGACAGTAAGTGGTCAAAGAGTGTGTCACTAGGCAGAGATGCCTTGGGCCAACTAGGAGAGAGAGCAAGAGACAGAGCAGAACCCCGTTTTCCACACATACTCTGACTTGAGGAAGCGAGCAGTTTTGATGATCTGTTTGGTAGCTTCAACATAGCCGTTCTCACCAAAGTACATCAAGGTGGCCCAACAGGCTGCAATGATGCCACCAGGCCGTGAGCCAGCCATGCTTGGAGATGCGTAGATGCCACCTTGCCAATCTGCACCAACAAAGAACTGGTACTTCCTGTACTTCTCGTTAGAGTACAACACCACTGATGAACCTTTGGGAGCATAGCCGTACTGAGGGGAGAAGCAAAGAGGTCAGAGTGTGGCTGTATCTGGCAGTTCTGCCTGCAAAAACCACACAGGTAATGCTGCTTTCTCACAGGAGCTCTCTGATGCTTCCTATCATGTAAGGCTCACACTTCACAGTGTTAACAGACAGAAGGAACTGGAGGGATGGATTTCACATTCTCAATGTAAGGAGTAAGCCATCTGAGATCCACAGAACCACTTAGACTATGTTTCCTCTCTCTCACTCAGCCTTTGGCTTTCCTTATGTAAAATCTTTCAGAAGCTGAGCGCAGTGGCATATACCTACAGTGCCAACACGTGGGAGGTGGAGGAGGATCAGGGATTCTAGGCAGGCACAGACACATCAAACACTACAAGTCAGTTGCTCCTGAACACACACACAGGTTTCCTTTCCCAAAAGGACTCTGCCATCAGCATAAACATATGGTCACGTAGGCTCAGGGACTCCAGAATCAATCCTTAGCACCACCTCAAGACCTCAGAGGCTTTTGGCACAAGGGCCCTAGCCAGACAGTTGACAGGAAGTCAGCCCAGTATAAGGAAAGGCCGGAGCTCCTTTTCTCTATGACTTGTCACCTCCACACGCTGACAGACAAGAGTCAGACTTTTTATGTGGTGGTTTAAATGAAAATGGCCCCTGTGGGCCCACAGGGAGTGGTACTTTTGGGAGATGTATCCTTGTTGGAGCAGGTATAGTGTTATTGGAGGAAGTGTGTTACTGGGAGTGGGCTTAGGTCTCAGATGCTCAAGTCAGGTTTAGTGTGACATTCTCTTCCAGCTGCCTGTGGATCCAGATGTAGAACTCTTAGCTACTTCTCCAGCACCATGTCTGCCTGGATCCAGGTGAACTCTCAGCTACTTCTCTAGCACCATGTCTGCCTGCATGCCACCATGCTTCCTGCCACAACAATAATAGCCTAAACTTCTGAACTGCAAGCCACCCCCAATTAAATGCTTTCTTCTATGAGAGTTATCATGGTTGCAGTGTCTCTTTATAGCAATAGAAACCCTAAGACAATGTGTGTGTGTGTGGGGGGGGGGCGGTCTGGGGCAGACCTAAGGCTTTAGTCGATTCGCTGTGTGGAGAATAGTGGAATTACCAACTGTCAGCTTTTGGGTATTTATCCCCTTAGCTCACCTTATGAGTATCTGCTGAAATGCTGGTCACACCTTTCACCCGGAAATCAAATGGTTTCTCCAGTGGGTACCCTGCTTTCTCCATGAAGACAATGAGGAAGCCCCCCAGACAAGCATCGACATGGAATGGGATTTTATATTTGACAGCCAGCTAGTTAAAAATAACATATGAAAATGTAAATAAACCCTAAGCAGAAAAGAAGTGGAAAGATGGGCTACTCTGTACTACTTCACAGGTACTAAAGGTGACTGTATTTATTTGAAAACAAGGTCTCATTTATCTCAACCTGGCCTTGAACTTACAACGTAGGCCACGGGAGACGGTGAATTTCCCTGCCCCACCTGCAGCAGATGAGCAGTGCCTACAACAATGCCCAGCTTGATGAGATGCTGAGGGTCCAACGCAGGACTTCACACAGGCCTGCGATACACGCCACCAACTGACCCACAGTCCCAAATACTTGTTTTTGACTCTTTTTTTTTTTTGGTTTTTCGAGACAGGGTTTCTCTGTGTAGCCCTGGCTGTCCTGGAACTCACTCTGTAGACCAGACTGGCCTCGAACTCAGAAATCCACCTGCCTCTGCATCCCAAGTGCTGGGATTAAAGGCGTGCGCCACCACCGCCCGGCTATTTTTGACATTTCTAAATGAAGCCTATTTTTCTTTAAAGCGTCCACCTGAAATATACTCTGTGTAATTTGTAATTTAAATATGCTTGACCTCAGGCTCCCCCAACTATCACATGAGGAACAGCAGAGCTCTTACTGAACAGCCTCTAGAGGGGAAGGTTCTACTTTAGTCATCCATTACATGGTAAGCTTGTTCCTAATGGCACATTACTTCCTGGCAGGAATCTAAGAGTCAGTACTATTTCAAAATACCTTTTTAAAGGCAGCCTGGGTCCTGTACTACCCTTCTCCCAAAAGAGGTACAGGGACTTGCCTTGGGGTTGATAAGCACTAACAATCTCTGCTATGTTCAAACCTAAAATCAAAACCTTTCTCCTCACAAAGCCCTGTATCATCATGTCCATTTTCAAATACTAATCTGCATGCTGCAAATCTGCACAGTCAGAATCTCTCACCTTAGCCACTTCAGGGATAGGATCTATCACACCATGAGGAAACTGTGGGGCAGAACAGACCAGCATAGCTGTGTTCCTGGAGATGGCTCTTTTCATCGCCTAGGGATTTAAAGTTTAAGAGAAGTAAGAATCGTAGTCATGGCTGCTCAGCCTTCTGCTGTGAGGATGATGTGGACCACTGGCTTAGAGTCTCTACACCCTGGGAGAAGACTGCCGTCCGCTATGAAGGGCACACACAAGTCCACATGGAAAGCAGATCTAAGAGCAACACTATGCAAACTCTATGGAAACAGAAATCACACTGAGCTAGGAGATAAAGGACTGAACCGTGAGTCCCAGCCCACACTCTACCAGAGATGGCTTATCAAAAACTCGATTTAACCTTACAGCTTCAATAAAACAAAAAAATTTCTCTACACATACGTGAGATATAAAACCACATTCAGGTCCATGAAAGGGAGAGAGTGGTAGGGCAAGTTCATCCACAGCCATTTTACAAAGGAAAGAAAGTAAAGGAGCTGAAAGTAGAAAGTAGACAGCATCAGGGACCAGATCATCCACTTGCGGTACTCAAAAACACAGCTGCCTGTCACACTGCCAGTCCAGTCTCTGCTCTGGCTGCTCTAGTCTGAGCAGAGAGCCCATCTGTGTGCAGATGGAGGGGTGACATCCTGCTCTGTAAACCTTCCAGAACTCACCCGCACATCCACCTCCATGTTCTTGTTCTGTGCAACACGTACAATCTTCATTCCAAAATAATGAGCTGCTTTGTCGAATGCGGCGTGGGCACTCTCAGGAGCCACACTAGGTGATGGAGAAGAGGGGGCCTAATGAGACGTGGAGCACAACAACCCAGGAGAATTTGGCAGCTCTTAAAGTCACCAGTTACTGAGAAGTCTGGTTACTTCTCCTCACACTATTATGCTTGTATTTTCTCAGTGCAAACAGAAAGAAGTACATTGATTGTCTGTAGACAACTCCTCTCCACTATTTAGGAAATTATTTTTGCAACAGGAAGGAAAACTCAGAACACAAAAAGACACAGACCATAAATTGGGCCAGACAGGAAAAAGCCAACAGACAGAGGGTTTGGATGAGGGTGCATGAGGCAGAACTTCCTGAGGAGGGATGATCACCCAGAAGACCTCTGTGAGAAGCAAAATGCTGTTCTAGCAGATAGTAAGGCTGCCCGGCGTAGAGAAAGCAGCAGCAGTCAGTCAACCTCAGGTAGAAGTGGTCTGCCAGCCCTGAACAATCACCAAACTATGAAAAACTAAAATCTGACTCTCCTACATGGTTACAACTAGTTTTCAAATAATGTTCAAAGAGACAACAGAGTCACAGATATCCCCATTACTCCTCTCTCACCACTACTGTTTCCATTAAGGGAGAAAAATCTTTACAATCACTAAGTATCAGGCATCAAAGGTTTACACGTGAAGAAAGTAACAGGAGCTAGGTTTATTCTCCTAGGCAAGTGGTTACAGTTTGATGATACAAAGAACAAAAACTACTTAGTTTCCTATACTTGGAGAAAAAAACAAAAACAAAAGAAAACGTTAGCCCAAGAGGTATAATATTAATACATCATACAGAAAGTGGTCTAGAAAACCAAGATTATAATCATACGAAAGCATTATAACTAAATCTCAAAACCAAAACAAAAACCTTGTTTTTAAATTCTTCCTTCCTAGAACTAACTCTCAGATGCAAATGTTCCTGGGGAGCACTGGAGGTAGTCTAAGATACTTTAGAAATGTTCACTCAACTACATGACACGGTCTACACAGCCTTCTTTAGGCTCTGGATAAATTAATAATACAGGATTCAGAGATGTAGTTCGCCTCTGGAAAAAAAGATACTACTACTCTTGCTAAAAATATGTCCCATGTTTAAGCTCATAACCAGCTACTGGATATGACAGGACCAAGTAGAGGTGCTGGGCAGGGGCAAGAAGACTGGAATTGAAGGAGAAACAGGCTGGGCTCAGTTTACAGTGTGCTGCCTAAGCAGACAATATCAGAGGGGAGACAGACAGACAGACAGACAGACACACACATACATTTCTGGAGTTTTGATTCCTTTCTCTAGGGCCATGTCCCGGTAAGCTTTGCAGGCCATGAGGATGCTTTCTGTTCCCCCAGAAGTCACCTATGTGAAGAAAAGAGGCCAGAATAAGTTAGGGGTGGTTATCAGGAGGCATAGGCTGCTTTGACCTTAAAAATGTTTAACACAGAAACAGACAAGGGCAGAGAAGATACTGCTGTATCTTCAAGACAGCGTGATTCAGGGATTACAGAGTGTGCCACAGGGTCAGCAATTCACACTTCTGAAACCCAACTTGACGTTTAGTAAACACATCCTATCACCTCACTGTCTTTAAGTAGTAACCGAGCTTGAATAATTTCCCAAAAAGCCAAAGGCTACAGCACTGAACCAGCATGATATCATCTTAGATTTAGCATCTGTGAGGTTCATACAATCTTGGGTTTTTCTTTTCAAAAAGGAAACTGAAGTCCCTGAGTAATCATTCAATGTCACCCATTACATTTGTTGATAAGTAAAACCTTCTGAATTTTAGATTATATACCAACTTGAAATAGAATGAAAAATGTCTACTAAACTTTCCAACATCTGCATACAGAATAAAAATACCATTGGGTATTGAATCCTAGTGGTCAAGAGTTATGAAGATTAACTCAGAAAATGAGTAATTTATCAACTCAGGAAGCATGAAACATGTGACCACCCTCCTTAAAATAGCTCACAGAATGTAGAAAGAGGACCCTTGTTTATAGATATCTATGCTGAAGAAGATAGCTTATAGTTGAGATTAACTCTACAAATCAGCAACAACACCTTGTGGTCTAGCCTAAGACCTCCGAGCTGTCATATGAGGTTCCAAGACAACTGTGTAGAAAGCTGAGGAATTACCAGGCCTTACATTCTTACCAAGGCCTGACAATGACCTAAACAGAAAAATTTCCAAACTCCTAGTCATCTACATTACATTAAACAGAAATTTAGTTGTGGAATAAGAAACAGGCTTTGAGTCACTAATGTCTAACAATTCCTTTCAACAATTATAAAAACTCTCACTCTGCAATCCCAGCATTTGGGAGGCAGAGGCAGGCGGATTTCTGAGTTCAAGGCCAGCCTGGTCTACAAAGTGAGTTCTAGGATAGCCCGGGCTATAAAGAGAAAACTTGTCTCAAAAAACAAAACAAAACAAAAAAGCAAAAAAAAAAAAAAAAAAAAGAACAACAAAAAAAACCCTCTCACCCTGAGTTACATGTTTCAGGACACAAAACATTTACTTTCAGGTATGAATGAACCTGGTTGCATTTATGTAAGCCAGTCAACATTCTACTGTGATCTGATTTTTTTATTATATGAATTTGCCCCTTTAATCCTCTGTGAATGAGACAAATGAAGTTAATATAGGGAAAGATATTTTGAAGTAGAAAAAAAAAAGACCTAAGAAGTATTTAAGACCCTCTGTTAGTTTCAATCTAAAAATTTCTCTTTAATTTGGCCTAGCCTTCCTGCTTCTCTCAACAGTGAACCCTCACTTTTTCACCAAAAACAACTCATCAAGAGAAACACAGAGAGAAGCAGAAACAGACAGAAAAGAATAAAAGACTAAGAAGAGAGATAAAAACAAAGGGAGCTCTCTATAAAAGTTGGAGTGGTTGGAATATGCTTGGCCAGGGAATGGCACCATTTGGAGGTGTGGCCTTGTTGGAAGAAGTGTGTCACTGTAGGAGTGGGCTTTAAGACCCTCCTCCTAGCCACTTGGGAGACAGTCTTCTCCTGTTTGCCTTCAGAACAAGATACAGAACTCTCAGCTCCTTCCGCACTATGCTTGTCTGGATGCTGCCATATTTCTGCCTTGATGATAATGGACTGAACCTCTGAAAGCCAGCCTCAATTAAATGTCCTTTAAGAGTTGCCTTTGTTCACAGCAATGCAAACCCTAACTAAGATAGAAGTCAAACACAATAGCAAACAGGGAATCAAACATTATCCTTTCTCCTAGTCCCTGTCATACCACTAAAAAGAGGATAACTGGAGAGAGACAAGGTTTAACTGCAGCAGTACGAATGACCTTAAGGTTGTATTGATATGGGAGACTTACTACTCATTACCTGAATGAAATGAGAAAGAAAAAACAAAACACCCCACAGCTCTGCAGTAATAACCACCAAATAAAGAAAGAAATCTACAACAAATTTCAAGCACTGGCAAAGAAACAGAATGGTGGTTTGAAAGAAAACAGCTCACAGGGAGTGGCTCTAGAGGAGATGTGTACTTGCTGGAGTAGTTATGGCTTTGTTGGAAGAAGTTTGTCATTGGGGATGGGCACTCAAATATTCAAGCCAGGCCCAGTGTCACTCTCTTCCTGCTGCCTTCAGATCCAGATGTAGAACTCTGAGCTGCTTCTACAGGATCGTGTCTGCCTGCATGCTACCATGCTTCCTGCCATGATAATGTACTAAACCTCTGAACTGTAAGCCAGCTCCAATGAAATGTTCTTCTTTATAAGAGTTGTCATGGTCATGGTGTCTCTTCACAGCAATAGAAACTCTAGCTAAGACAAACAGTAACACATAACAGATGCAGAGGTACAACCAAATATAGTGCCTAGTCAACTCCGGAAATCAGGGTCATCAGGAAAGTCTTAAGAAGTATCATGATCAGACCTTTCCACTACAGAGAAACAGAGATTTTTTTTTATCCTCTGCCTTTCTCTATGTAGTGGACATGACCAATGGGGACAAAGGAGCAACACGGAAAAACAGAACAGCAAATCTGACCCCGTTTAAGAGTAAAGATCACAGAAATTTAGAGTAGATTAAAGCTCAAAGTATATTATTCTCCTACAACTGGGCAGAGAGAACTTTTAACAGAATCTCTGAAGAACAGACCCTGAAATCCTAATAGAGCAAGAACAAAGCTTCAGCCAGCCCTGCAGACAAGACACCTACCTTGCATCAGCCCAAACAGACCATCAGGAAAGACCATTCAAGAACCAAGATGAGCAAAGGGTGACTATTGCAAACATGGGGTTGGGTATAAAAACACATATTTCTGATGGTCTTAAGAACCCCCAACACTAAATTTGTTTTTGTTGCTACTTCATAAATATAACTTTGCTATTGAACAGTGTTTCAGTTCCTAAGACCATCAGAAATATGTATTTTCTGGTGATCAAGATCCACAGGTTGAGAAGCACTACTCCAGCACATGATCATAAGATCACAATTCAATACAACAGGAGGTCATCAAAGCTAAACAAGAAAACGACAAAATCAGACAACAGATCAACAGCGAAGGAGCAAGTATGTCAAGAACATTAAAAAAAAGTCAAAGACAGAAAGATCAATGCTACCCTACTTAAGAGCTGTGTGGTACAGTCGATGCCTGGACAGCTGGAAATACAAGGAATCATGCAAATACCTGAATAACCTAAAAAAGATCTAAGGGCAAGAAGATTCAGAGGAAAAAGGGCTTTCAATTGATATAGGCCTATTATGTAAGGGAAAAAAAAGACAAGCGCTTCTATTTCCAAGAACATACAGTAATACCCTAATTAATATTTCTAAAGAAACAACTAAAATCCTTGACAAAGCATTAAAACAATTATAGCCATTACTGAACTAACATTAAGAACTATCTAAGCCCTAAAACAAAACATAACCAAAATTTCTGCAAGACAGTCTTCTAACAGTGTGGAGTCCAGGGGTTTGCCCAAGGTCACACAGTACAACAAAAGACTACAGAAAACCCAAACTCTTCACAGTACAAGAAATAAACCTCACTAATGTGAAAAACGGTAAATTTTTAAACTTGACACTGGGGTCAAGAAAAACCACTTTAAAATAAGAAAATGCAGAGAGCCAGGGCTGTGGTGCCCCACACCTACAATCACAGCAACAGGGAGTGGGAGGCAGAAGGATCAGGAGGATCAGGTTCAAGGTCATCCTCAGCTACAAAGCAGGTTTGAGACCAACATGGGCTATAAAACTCTAGCTCAAAATACCAAAAAGAAACAGGGAAGAGGAGAGGAGGGGAGGAGGAGGGGAGGGGAGTCAATAAACGGCGATCAGTAGGTATATGGATGAGAAGGTGAGAAAAACGGAGAGAATAAGCCAAGCAAAGAGATGCAGCAAAATATCTGGTGAGTGTAATGTTCAATAAACTTTCCTAGCAACTTTATACAGGCTGAAAGATTTTTGAAAACATGAAGCTGATATACCAAAATGTTGACACTTGGGATTTTAAAAGTACAAGTAACATTTGAAAACTGCAGTTCATCTAGATCATTACAATAACAGTCCAGTAACTGTGTACTATCTTAAAACTCCTATTACAAGCCACTTACACATCCACAGGAATCTGGTCCCCCATTGAAGAGTGAACAAGCCATCCTTACGATTTCTGCCTCCAACTTCCGTAGTCCAGGGAAGATGTCTGGATGCAGTGGATTGCTCCACGTGAATTCCCCATAAGCCTACAAAGAGATGCAAGGGGTATAAGACAGGCTGCTGTCCTAAACAAGACTGAGAATCATGTACTGAGTAAGGTTTTCAGATATTGGGTCCAACAGTTAAGAACTGGAAAATGGAATGATATATTCCCCAACTTAAAGACCAGAATATAATGTAAGAGACAAGAGATGTAAATAAATGATTTCACAACATAATGAGGAAAAAATACAAACACAGGGGTATTAAACTGTAACACCAACAAATTGTCATCACTTTGAAGTCGCACCTTTGCCTGCCGCTTTTAGCTGTACAGGCCAAATATGCCCTGTGAGGCTCATTTTCCTCATATGCAAAAGGGACTAACCATTTCCACCTTACAGGGTCCTAGCAATAATTAAACATGAAAATGATAGTTTGTCTGCCACAAAGCAGCCGCTGCTGTGAGTTCATCTGTCTGCACATGGTAAGGGACCCTGGTGGGGAAACTGCTAGCATCCTGAGTGCCCTAGAGGAGTTTATGAGAGGAACCTGAAGAGAGGAATGGAAACTCATCCTATGCAACAGAAGGGAAATAAATGGGAAAGAGCAAGATCCATGTCAACACAGAAGGCAACGGGGATGGTTAAAGTGACAGGTGGGAGCCGGGATGAAAGAGACATCATTCCCACTGTGTGAGGACTTGGGCCTCATCTAGCTAATGAGAAGTTTAATACAGAGTCATGAACACTATGCCAACTAAGTAGGACCCCTAACACAGTCATGACACAAGGCCCAAGAGATCACAACTTTAATTTCATATGAAAAATGGGCTTCAAAACTAAGGCTGATTAGAAACAGAAGCAGCTACATCCCATGCGAAAGTCAGGCTCATCTTGTGGAGTCTGCTCTGAGAGTCAGTTTTGCCCTGACCCCCACGTCAAACAACATAGGCTGTAGCACTGAAAATCTCAAATGAAGCCCTGCATAGCGGAACAGACCTTCAGTCCCAGCACGTGGGAGGAAGAGGCAGGAAGACCTCTGTGAGTTTGAAACAGCTGGTCTACATAAACAGTATCCTCAAATGGTAAGCTCCTTCACTAGAAATACAGAGGACATAGCAAAGTCCAGAGATATAAATGACATTTCACATTTTCTGAAGTCTGAAGATGTATTTGACACTATTATACACATTTACCTATTTAAGTGAGAAGAAACTTTTGAGTCTCTATGGTTTTATTTCAACAGTAAATTTCCACTAAGTGATAATTATTACAAGAATGAGATTAAACAGTTAAGTGAACTAGGAGTGGCACCCATGCACATCAGTACGCAGGCTCACCTGCACCAGCAGCTCTGTGAGCTTCGGTTCCCCGCTGTACACAGCTCCTGAGGCTTTCCCTTCTTGCCAGGAAACATCTGCAGAGAAAATTGTGGTCACTCTCTCAGGGAGCAGACATCACAGGAAACAAAGGGATTAATACAGACAGGACAGACAAAAACCTACAGTTCAGGAACCAGAAATATGGCTCAGAAGTGAAAAACATGTATTCTCTTGCAGAAGACCAGAGTTCAGTGCCCATAGCAGGCAGCTTACAACTTCCTCTATTTCCAGCTCAAGGGGGGATCCAATGCCCTCTTATGGCTTCTGAAGGCATCTACACTCAAGTATAGATATTCCCACATAGACACACACCAACACATATAATTAAAAGTATTTTTAAAAAAGAGTAAAAGAGTTGAGTAGAAACTCAATCCTGTTCTTCTACTAAGAACAAAGAGATTTCAGTAATGACTTACCACAGCAAAGGGGACGAAGTGCATCAAGGTTCAGTGAAGACAGACAGTAATGTCGCCCTCACCCTCAGCTACCTTCTCTCAGCATAAAAGCAGCCCTTTGCCTCCATTGTAGTTCCTGTCCTCAACATGACCTTTTTCTGTAGTAGCTCTCCTCATTGCCCTATCTAGTCACAGGAAGTCACAGGAACTGCTATAAGCAGAGATGATAAAAAGGCAACCGTAAAATCTTGCTATACAACCTCCAGAGCTGTAGCTAAAGCACAAAACATGCTAGTGGAGGAGCACATTCATTTCAGACCTGGAAATAAACAGTGCAGTAGCCACCTCCTGTGCCATAACTAACATTCAAGAGCAGGCATGGAAGTGACCATGAAACAAGGCTGAGCAGGGTTTGCCACCAGTTCTGCTAGCTGTCTCAGAAACATTCTGTTATACTAACAAATCTGAGATGGGCCCTTCAAGTCCTTGCTACCACAAGGCTGTACCCTATTGAAAGTGGTCTGTGAGAGGGGTGTCACCGAAACACTAACTGAAAAGTACACAGAACCACCTGTTCTACAAAGCAGAGCTTTTCAGTTCTCATGAGAGCAGAAGGCCTGGCAGCAAATGCATAAGCAAAGCTCTCCTTCCCACAACCACATATGGATCCAGTCTGACATTCACTCTTTTCTCAAAGGACATGGCTGTGCACCACGAGTGTCTTAGGCCTGTGGTAACTATAGACAGGTACATGGTTTCATATCCTGTTCTTTGACTCTTCCAAAGAGTACTACATGGGTTATGACATTTAAAAAAAAAAAAAAGGAAGGATGATAGACTGTATGTATGTCTGTATATACACATGCAGGCCTCATGTCAGGGAGATCAGGGGAGGGAACTGGAACTATGGAACTAAAAATACAGATGGTTGTAAGCCACCAGGTGGGTGCTGGGAATTGAATCCCAGGCCTCTGGAAGAACAGCCAGTGTACTTAAGCGCTAAGCCATCTCTCTAGGCCCTGTTCACTGACTTCTATTACCCTGTGTTCATTCTCTTTGATTTTTAATTTTGCTTGTATTTTGAAACAGCATCTACATAAGCCCTCGCCGGCCTGTTACTACATGACCTAGGTTGTCCTTGGGCTTGCAGCAATCCTCTGATCCCGGGCTCCCAGGTACTGGGATTACAGGCAGGCACTGTCACTCCCAGCTCTGTGCTCATCTCTGGATGGTGGATTTACAGTCAGTGTTTTTTTTATTGTCTTCTGTGACTTGAAACAGATGTCATAATTTTGACATAAGTCTGTACTTCATCTACAATATGAAATCTGGTCTTTGAAGTAGAGAATGGATCCTCCTGTATGTGTAGTAAGCACCAAGTGATCCCTGGCCTATGGCCACATTAGCCCATAAGGACAGAGGCAGCACAGCGTCCCTGGGCCAAGGCTTACCCATGGAGCTGTACTCCTTGAGTCTCTCCAGAACCTCCGCTGTGCTCAGACCCTGAGCAGGCAGAGCCTTCACATACTCTTTGTCCACCTTCAGGAACGGCATGTTCTTGACAAGATCCTTCTTGGCTTTGTTCAACTGTTGTTCAATCTCCAAGGGTAAAGGAAAAAAGAGTTTATTAGAAGGTAAAAGAATGAAATACAGAAGCAGAAAGGCCATCTCTGAGACCAAGTCAATGGCTCAACACCAGACATAGGTGCTACTAAATTAGAAGGGCTTGTCTTTTTTTTTTTTTTTTTTTAGGAAAATGAACACTTTTATCTGTTTAGCCAGCCAGCGTGCGCAATGCCTCTTAGAATTTAAAAAGCCAGCTTTCCTTCTGAAAGTCAAAGATGCATTAAATTTCCCCTTTTCTGGGCTGTGCTGATGTCACCAACACTGTGTTGCCCTTGGTTTGAACTGGCTTAAGCCAGCCTAGTCTGAAAGCAACATTAGATCCCTGTTGCTGTGTTGGCAACAGCAATACTGTGATTGATAAAGACAGTCATGAAACGGGCCAAGCGACAGTAAAAGGGGATCCTGGCTGTTGTGCAATTGATGAGTAACGTCAACACATAGTTTAAAAGAACCGCAAGTATGGAGGTCCACAGAGCTCCCAGGGTACCCATACAGGCTTCAGAATTGCTGGGATGACTATGCTGCATCTCCTTAAGGGGCTATTGGGTAGCTTGACCCATCTGACCCACAAATGCTAGGAGAAATTATAGTCCTTTCTGCCATGTAATTTATCAACTATCCTCTTAGCTACATTCTCTGAGTGGTTTCTTTTATTCATTTACTTACTCATTTGCTCAACAATACTTGCTGAAAAACTATTACATGCTAGGGATACAGCCATTAAGAAACAAACAAAAAACAAAACAAAACAAAAGAAAAAGCCCTGTGGTACACAGTTTGTTTTGTTTCTTTTAAAAAAAAAAAAAAAAAAAAAGCCCTCATCTCATGAAGCTTATTTTTAGCAAGAAAGACAGAAAAATCTATTAATGGTGCTCAGGTGAGAAACAAAAGAGTAAATTATGGACACAAAATGGCAGGAGATGCTACTTCTGAGACTCCTGGGTAACAAGTGTACAGACAGTAAAGCCCAAGATCTCACACCCACCGTTCACATTTTTCTCAATCCTGGTCAGGGATGATCAGAATACAAGAGAATCTTCTTATGTGCACCTCTCAGTGCAGCCCCAGGAAGCTGACTCCTCTAAAGCATGTCAGCACTGTAGTAGGCAGCACTGTCCACAGGACTGACTGACAATGCTGAGACATGCTACAGACACACAGGCATTTTTAAAGTCATAGGTAGAAGATCATGCTACATGCACAGTGTCCATGCAACAGGAACAAATTATGAAAGATGAGCACTCAAGGATAGATTATGTTGTTTTAAGAAGAAAAAAAAAGACACAAAAAATTCCACTAGGAAGTATATTAAAAATCATAGCAAATACTAGTACTTCCCGCTCCCAGTTCTTGCCTCATTACATTTATTTCAAAATGCAAATGTTATATGTTTGTTTGCTTTCTGTCTTTGCTACTAAAATGCAAGTTCTATAAGAGGATGGACTTGGTGCTCTTCAACACTGTATCCCTAGCAAAATAGTAAAAAGAACTAAGACTGAGGAAGTGCTCAATAACTGTGTTGAGTAAATAACAAGGCACAAATGCATATGTGTATGCACACAGTAACTTCCTGTCTCTAAGCCTTAGAGTCTGCTTCTGAAAAACAAAGGTTTGACTGGATTACATGGCCTCTATGCATCTTCAATTCTACAATTTGAAAAATTTAAGAATGGCTTCTGGAATCTTAGCATTTATTTGTCTCAAAACTTTGAAGGGGCTAGGAATGCAGCTCAGGAGTAGAGTGCCTGCCTAGGGTGTCTGAGGTCCCACGTTTGATGATTATCACCACACCACCACCACCATCACCACCACCACTGCCATCACCACTGCCACTGCCACCACCACCGCCACCACCACCACCACCACCATCACCACCAAACCTCAACAAAAGGAACATTTTACAGTCCCTAGCAGTCAAGTGCCTGCCTAGCATCGGTGAGGTCCCAGATTCGATCCCCAGTACCACCACTACCACCACCAAAGAAGGAACGTTTCTTTGGGAATGGGGCTCAGTGGTAAGGAGGTACATGATTTGATTCCCAACTCTGCAAAAATCAATCAATCAATCAATCAATCAATCAAATCTTAAAACTAAAGGAGAAAGGTGGAGATACTAAAATCTCAGGGAATATTAAGGAAGTGCCTGCTGTCGTTTATGGCACAGCGTATCTTTTTCAGTAGTCTTCCTCTATCCCCTCCCCATTCATCTCCAACCCCTCATCCCTGATTCCAGAAGACTCAAGTGTAGGAAAATTACAAAGTAAGTAAAGCTGGGAAAAGCCAGAGAAGGCGAGAGACAGGTCAGAGCAGGGCACTGGGGCTTTAAAGACAGTCAGGATTCACAGACCTTTCTTATACCTTGCAAGGAGCCTGTCCTGCTTATCTCCCCCTTGATAAAGAACCCAGCCCTGAGGAGAAATATCTTATCCCAGTATGATAGCAAAGAGGGACACAGTGAAGAGAGCAACTCTGCTATAAAGAGGAGCAAAGAGCAAGAAAGCAGCTGTCAGCTCTCTATGGTTCCAACCCGGGAATGAGGAAACTACTCCCAGAGGCCGACCTGCTTTTGTGAATACAGTTTTCCTGGAACTGCCAGGTTCATTTCTTACCTACGCTCTTCTTGTGTGGACCCAGAGTAGACAAAAATGTTTCCTATCTGGCTCTTCATAGGAAGTCTGCCAACCCATGATTTAATCCCCAGATGGGTATCTAAATTCAGTTCAGCCAAATATTGTTGTAAAGCACAGTAAGACTTCAGATGGATTTTCTAATTTTAAGTTATCCCTTAGCAGATTTCTCATCTCTCCTTTGGCCAAATATGTTGGAAAAAGTGCTAACTAAGCCTTAGCCTTTCCAACCTTTTAAGTCCTTTCTACTGTAGGGCAGTCCATACTATGCCCCAGAAGTGTTTTACAGCAGCCCGCATTCTGCCAATGGACTCCAGGAGCCTGCTGTCAGAGTTGTCACAACCTAAAAAGTTCCCAAACAATGTCAAATTCCCAAGTCTGGCAGACAAAAATCATTCCCCTCCTTTAAGAATACTAATCTAGCAACAAGGGAAAAGATACACCAAACAGGAAGAAAGATTGCGCCTACCTTACGTCCAATAAATGGCATCTTCCTTATAAGCTTAAATAATTTATTTTTAAACCGAGACCATAAACCTACAAGAAACAAATAGTTCTATTAGTCACAAGAAATTCCATGGATATAACCTACCAGTTAACAGACAGCAATCATTCCACGTCTCTTATAATTTCACTTCCTCCAGAGGGAGAGTTTCTTTCAATTTTTTATAAAAACCTTTTAATTTTTGAGTAATTATTTATGTGGCCCAACTTTTCAGTAAATAGACACATGCGGTACTAATGTTTCTTCACCCTCATTTCCTTCCACTCAGGTCGCATCTTGCCCTTACATAAGGCTTTTGTTTCTAGCATACATTTCCAGAGTATGATGTATTTACCAGTAACAACAAAGATAAACTCTCATTTATTTCTCGCTTTTACTGAAGAGGTAGTATAGCCTAGTACTGTACTAGACCTTGTTTTTCTACTCAGAAATATTAAAGATTAGTAGGTATTTCCTCAATCATTGCTGTCTGTGTGTGTAAGGCAAGAGCAGATGTGTGCCCATGTTCATGTGCATGCACAGGTGCATTCCATTAAAGAAAAGCTTCATAATCTATTTAACCCTCTCTTCACTGAAGGACACATAGGCTCATCTTAATTTTTGCTGTTAAACCATGCTAAAAATAGCATTTTAAAACATACTATAAAAGTATATCCATGGAATAAATTCCCAGAAGCAGAATTGCCAGTCAAATGACACACATATTCCGGAGTTCTTGACCTTCCCAAGGCTTCTAAATGTCCAGATATCTTTTTATTCTCAAAAGGCAGGTCTTACAAACAACACTGACCCAGATAACATTTTCTAGACCTAAAAGGAGTCTGAAAATCATGCACATCAGAGCCCACTTTCAGGCAGTTACAAAGAACAAAGAATTCTGTCCTGTCAACTACAGTAATTATAAATCAACAAGTTGGAAGGACACTTGTGCATTCATACTGAATACACCTCCACTGATCCTAGCAGCAGCATTTTAAGGCTGGGATGGCAGGCATAAAAGGCAACCGAAGATCAGAAAATTAGAACTTGTTCAAAGCACAGTTCAGAGCAGTGAGAGAGTAGCCCAGGACTCCTGCAACTCTGCACTGCTTCAAATGCACTGTAGAGATTGTTTTCTTATCCAGGTCAGCCTAGAAGACCCCAGACCAACTGTTCTCTGACGCATGAACTGAGTAAGAACCTTTGCTGCATTCCTAAGGGATCTGGGTAAAGCAACTCCTAACGTGGTGCCACACAGGTGATGTCTACTCCCTCAGCTGGTACTCATCAAGGCCTGCCTGCATCCTTGCTTTACTGTGCTTGCTTAGGTAGGTAGCACTGGCCTTCTACTCCTGCATCCTACCAACACTGTACGTTCTGCTGTGGTGGTTTGAATAGGAATGGCCTCACAGACTCATGTTTGAATGCTTGGCCCACAGGGAATGGCATTATCAAGAGGCGTGGCCTTGCTGGAGGAAGTGTGTGACTGTTGGGGTGGGCTCTGAGATCTCTTATGCTTAAGCTTTGTCCAGCATGGCACAGTCTTCTGCTGCCTGTGCATCAAGATATCTAACTCTTAGCTTCTTCTCCAGTACCATGTCTGCCTGCATGCTACCATGCTTCATGCCATGATAATAGACTAAACCTTTGAAACTGTAAGCCAGCCCCAATTAATGTTTTTCTTTATAAGAGCTGCCATTCGACGTCTCTTCACAGCAAAGGAAATCCTAGCTAAGATAGCTGGTGACAGAACCACTGAGACCCAGACTATGATGAAATAACAAGAAAAGAGACTGAAGTCACTCATTTGTGGGCACTATTTTGTTTTCAGAATATTTTCTTCTAGACACTGTAATATAGAACTAAATCTTTTTACATGAATTAACAATACCCTTTTTCCTGTATTAAAAATTCTCGCCAGGCGGTGGTGGCGCAAGCCTTTAATCTCAGCACTTGGGAGGCAGAGGCAGGCGGATTTCTGAGTTCGAGGCCAGCCTGGTCTACAGAGTGAGTTCCAGGACAGCCAGGACTACACAGAGAAACCCTGTCTTGAAAAATCAAAAAAAAAAAAAAAATTCTCCTGGGCCAGAAAGATGGTCAGACTTGCTGTCTGACTACCTGAGTTCAATTTCAGGAACCCAGACAAAGGTAGAAAGTGGGAATTGACACCCAATTGACACTGACTATATGCGTGCTGTGGCAACATACATACATCATATATATACCCATACCTACATATGCACCTCCATAATAAATAAAGAATTTAAAATTTCCTTCTGAATATGGCGGCACATGCTTTTAATCCTAGTGCTTGGGAGGAAGCATAGGTGGGCAAACTGAGTTCTAGGCTAATTTGGTCCACAGAGTGAGTTCCAGGCCAGCCAAGGCTACATGAGACCCTTATTCTAAATAAATGCATGCATTAACTAATTAATTAATTAATTAATTAATTAAACTTTTCTTTCAACATATTTAGGGGAGAGGTGCACATGTCACTTGTGGAGTCAATCCTTTTGGTAGGATTAAGTTCGGGAGAAGAACCTCTCCAGAGTGGGCCACACCTTCAGCATCTAGGGAAAGATAGACCTGCTCCTTTTGCCAATCCTTCTCAGTCACTGGAACCTAGAGTCTTTGCCCTTCCACAGTGGACTAAGGCCAATGGCTCTCATGAATCCTGTAGGCAGGCTGTGAGCACAGGACTGGGACTGCTGACAGACCCAGCTCCAGACTGAGCAGCTCCTAGTCTCAGCTTTCCAGTGCATGACAGTCAGCATTACTACATCTTCTCCCTCCTCCCTATCACACAGGCCGAGCTATGAATCTTTCATAATATGAATTCATTTTATTGGTCCAGCTCCTCCAGGAACTCTGACTAATATTTGTATACTAATTGGTATACTCTAGTAGCAAGATTTTAATTGGTCTCAGTGGCTTATTCATATTGTATAAAAGTTTCCTATGGTAAGCACAGGCTCCTTTTTAATAAAAATATGTATTAAAATCTAAAATGACTCAGAGTTCAACCAACAAAGACTTAAATAGAGTATCTTACTAATATAATGGTTTTTGGTAGTTTTCTGATAGACTGCTCAGAGTCAGCAACCAAACAACCACCAGCACCCAAGATGATTGTGTTTCTGCTACAAGTTCAGCAAACTGCATGGCACAACCAGCTGACAACTAAGCTATCTAACTATGAAAACACAGGTAATAAATGTTAACTAGCTCAGCTTGACCAACATGCAACACAAACACACTTCAAAGCAACATGTTCTAAATAATATTTACAGTTAGATAAAGTTTTAATTTAAAGAAGTAACTACCGAAAGTTAATACTTATTATAACAAACAAGTAAGAACGTCAGCAGCTCTAACGCTAGTCTGGTTTTATAAATATACAATCTCAAAATGGGAAGTACCCAGAATGGTGATTTTAGGGCTTAGGAAAAATAAGAAATGGAGACTTTGATATTTTTTGGGTTTTGAGACACAGTCAATATAGTCCAGGCAGGCTGGCTTCAAACTTACAATCCTCCTGCCTTAGCTTTCCAAGGGCTGGGAGTTCAAAGTTGCACCACCATGCCTGGCTCAGGAACTGTTTATCTGTTGAAAGTTCAATTTGAACTAAAGAGAAAATCCTGGAGATAGAGACTATATAACAATGTGAATATTAATTAAATGTGAATACCACTATACTGAATACTTTGAAATGAGTAAAATGAGAGACTGAAGTGTAGTTCAGTGATCGAGTTCTTCCCTGGCATGCACAAGGCCCAGTATTTGATCCCAGCATGTCTCCTCCCAAGCCTGAAAGAGGCACGAATGTGGTGCACAGACATAAGTATATGTATGGGTAAAACACCCTTACACATAAAATATAAAATAAGTTTTAAAGGCAACATACATACATACACACACACACACACACACTCTTATATGTATATACAGATGTACTATCATGGTTAAAAAAAAAAGCCAGACATGGTGATACACATCTGCACATCTTAGCATTCAAAAGGCACAGACAGGAGGACCACTGCAAGCTGTAAGCAAGCCTGGTCTACATAGTGAGACTCTATCCCAAGTTGAAACAAGACAAGACAAGGACAATGAGATGAGGAAGGGGAGGTTGGGAGGGAAGGAGAGGAGGGAGAGATAGAGAATATAAATGAATAAATAAATATGGCCGTCATGAGGGCTGCTGAGACGGCTCAGTGGTTAAGAGCACTGGCTGATCTTCCAGAGGTCCTGAGTTCAATTCCCAGCACCCACATGGTGGCTCACAACCATCTGTAAAGGGGTCTGATGCCCTCTTCTGGTGTGCAGATGTACATGCAGACAGACTACTCATACAATAAAAAAAGAACATAAATTAAAAATTATTGTCGGGTGGTGGTGGCGCACGCCTTTAATCCCAGCACTTGGGAGGCAGAGGTAGGAGGATTTCTGAGTTCGAGGCCAGCCTGGTCTACAGAGTGAGTTCCAGGACAGCCAGGGCTATACAGAGAAACCCTGTCTTAAAAAACCAACCAAACAAAAAAATATATATATTTAAAAAAAAAAAGATATGTTGGTCGGGCTCCTTGCTCACTGAATGAAACACTTCCTAAGTAAGGAGTACACCAGAACAGGTAACTAAGGCTGTAGCCACGTATAAACCATGAGTTGAAGTGAAAGGCCAGTCTCATCAACAGTGTAGGAGAAAATCAGGGGAGGATGAGGAACAGAAACTGAAGACCATGTTTTAAAGCTGCGGTGAGCATTATAATTTGAGACAGGAAAGTCATGTTTCGTTTCCACTTTAATTAAAAAGCTCTAAAGAAGTGGAACTTGCCTCTGGGCTGTCATGTTTTGCAATGTTTACTTTGCTACTTAATGCTACTAAAATAGTTCAAAGGCTGCATGATAGAAAGATAAAAACCAGGGGCTGGAGAAACAGCTCAATCATTAAGGGCACTGACTTCTCTTCCAGAGGACTCTGGTTCAAATCCTAGAACCCATATGGCAGCTCACAACTGTCTGAAACTCCAAGATCTCCCACTCTCACATACACATACATGCTGACAAAACACCAATGCACATAAAATAAAAAGATACATTTTTTTAAAAAAGGTAAAAACCACCTGGTGGTGGTGGCATACACCTTTAATCCCAGCACTTGGCAGGCAGAGGTAGGTGGTTCTTAAGACTCCGAAGCCAGCCTGATCTACAGAGCTAGTGAGCTCCAGGATAGCCAAGACTACACAGAGAAAACCTGTCTCACCCTTCACTACCCCCACCACCCCCACACATACACACACCCCGCCAAAGATAAAACCATCTAGTTTGTGGGAAAACAGAAAGTAAAGCAGAAAAAAACAGTTAAAGTGCTCCCAACAGATGATGCCACCAAGGAAGTGAAGCAATGGAGAAACATCAAACAAATAAAAAAACAGATTTTTCTTCAGTTATTTAATTCTTCTCCCAAGGAAGTTACTCAAGATATCAGCAGTGTGGGAGAAAAGCCAGGGAGTGGCATAAAATAGCCACTGCTAACATCTACTATTTAGATATCAGTATAATCAAACAGCTTCCCAAGCACTGCCTGTGGGGAGTCATGGTCACAGTCACCTAGAGATGTAGGCAGGGAAGAAATGGGTGTGCAAGAGCTGTTTACACCTTAGGAAGAGTGTAAGCCAGTCACTGACAGGTATCTCCTCAGCAGCCCCTGAGAAACTGTGTTCTTCTTCCCAAGTCCATCTGACAAGTCAGTACTACTGTCCCTTAGCAGAAGTTAACTCCAAAGGAAGAAGAGCCATGCGTTACTTAACACAGACATCCTAGAGGCCACTTGGCAGCCAAGTGGTGACTTACTCCTACTCTTTAATGAAAAGGAAGGCCACAAATGAAAGCAATACATTTCTACTCTGGAAATCTCAAATAACACAATTATGATCTAGGAAGAAACTAGTACTGAAAGATATGTACCCTACATTCTGAGACATCTGTGAATCTTTTTTTGTTTGTTTGTTTTTGTTTTTTTGAGACAGGGTTTCTCTGTGTAGCCCTGGCTGTCCTGGAACTCACTCTGTAGACCAGGCTAGCCTCGAACTCTCAAACTCAGAAATCCGCCTGCATCTGCCTCCCAAGTGCTGGGGTTAAAGGCGTGCACCACCACTGCCCGGCTGTGAATCTTTATAGTAACTAATACCCAAGAAGTTTTTGCCTAAACTACAAATGAAAAAAAAAAATCACAAAACCATAAATAGTAACAGTTACCCAAAAGTCCTAACAGAATTTCACAGTTCATAAATCGGGGTCTATTTCCCATCTAAATAGATTTTAAAAGGCAGAACCAAAAGAACCAAAAGAGAAGCTTCCCACCCACCAGCCATCAGTGAGACTCCAGTCTACTTTATAGAAGGGGTAGTCTACTTACTCTCTGGCTGGAAGATAAGCCCATATACCCAGACTATCAGTAGAGTACACAGGACACTCCAGGCAATGAGCTGCCAGGGCTCATATTTGGTGCAGTACCCATTCACGTAATTCTTGGCTTTTGTGGAATATGCTTCCAAAATCTCCAAATAAGGCTCGAAGTCCTTCTAGAAATATAAGAAAAACAGAAACATTACATTCAGAGAAAGGAAGTCTGTTCTTGGTTTGTTCAATGCTCACTTTTTCAAGGGCAAAGCTGTTACTCATGATGAGGGCTCCACCTCAGCAATAATCTTATCCTCTTCTACAGCCCTCAAAGTTTATACACCAGTTGCTCCCATCTGACAGCGCCATGCAGACTTTGATACAATGTTGATCTGCTTATCTTGTAAAATAAGAGGACTAATCTAGATGAAGTCCATGTGAGCCATCACCTTTATCTCACTGCTGGTACTCCCAACAGTTACTCTCTGTGACCTATTCTCAATGTGAGTGCCATTTTCTCTCTACTCTCTTTGAGTTTCCCCCTTCTCTATTCTAGCTATAAACACAACAGCTCTGTGGGAAGCCAGGCTGTGACTATTTTAGATGCTGTGAAGGAATTCTGTTACAGCTACTCACCTATGGTGCTGGAGCACAGTATACAGTGTACTAAGGTTCCTACAAAGCTTAACTACGTGCACGCTGAAATCTGACTTTCATGTAACTGCTGCATCACAAAAGATTCTTTTTAGCCAAAAATCTGGAAATGTAAAAATCAACAGGGGCCATCTCTCCAGCCCCTATACTTTTGTATATACATCTTATGCATTCATATATAAATGACCAAAGTCTTTAGAGGAAAATGTATAGAAAGGGGCTGGTGTAAGCATTGGGCTACCTAAACTTGAGTCTGTGAGTAAGCCAGCAAGCATACTCCTCCATGGCTTCTGTTGCAAGTTCAGGCCCTAACTTCCATTAACAGCAGACTGTGACTTGGAAGTGTAAGCCAAATAAATCCTTTTCTTTCCTAAGATGCTTTTGGTCAGTGTTTTATCACAGCAACAGAAAGGAAACAAGAACAGTAACTTTTTGGCTATGAGAATTTATGGAATGAGAATAATTCAAATGATTCCAAACTTTCAATTCAAGTTTGAGAGATCTGTTAAGTGGTATACCATTAACTATGGTAAGACTAGAAGTAAAAGAAAGCTAAAATAGTAAGAGAATGTTTCGAAAAGGAAAAAAAAAAAAGAAGATGGTACTGACTTGAGATCTGTTCCTCTTGGGTATTTACTAAGAACAGGAAACCTCACAAATAAAATGGGTAATTAACAAGTCTTTCTTGAAGTTGCGATGGACTAAATGCTTACATTCCCCCACAAAATTTCTGCTGAGATCAAATCCTTGAGCCAGTGTTATCAGGAGGTAAAACTCTCAGAGGTTATAAAGTCACAGAGGAGCCTCCATGAGTACAATTGGTCCCCTTATAAAAGATAGACCTCAGAGAATGAGCTTGCTCCTAAGTGAGGTCACAGCAAATGACACTGTTTAAGTACCCCTTGTATGAACTCTCTTTTGAGTGCCACCTTCTAGAAGTGGGCCGTCAATTTATACTGCCTTGATCTTCAGACTTCCAAGCCTCCATAACTGTCAGAGAAATAAGGTTTTATTGTTTAAAAGCCACTCTGTTTAAGGCATTATGCTACAGCATCTCAAACAGACTGAAACAATACCTTTAGTAATTGGATTAATAATAGGCAATTACCATTAGACAAGTTTCAGGTTCCCTGAGGGCTACCCATGGAAACTGCTTATCTACAACAGGTGGCTATTCCCCAGAGTCCACTGTTGCCATCAACAAGTGCAATCCGACAAAGCAATGGCAACTCCAGCAAAAAATTGGGGAAGACCAGGAGTCTGTCACCATCAAAGGGATGCTCTGATTTCTACCAGAGAAGACTCAGGTCAAAGCTGTGATCAAAACACGTAGTTAAACAGTGTGCTGTAAGTGGTGGTACTAATTCCTAATTCACATAGAAATTACATTTTAATGATTCAAAGATGACATCAAAGGCCAATTCTTCATGGCAATGAATAAAAATAAATAAAAAAAAAAAAACAGAATATTAGAGACAAAGCAAAGAACCAGGAAATGAAAAACAAATGTTCAAAAGCCTTAAATGTAGTATGAAGACAGTACTCATTAACTCAATTACAAAATTAAATTCAGCAACAACATGTTTTCTTGGTGACTGTGCCAATTCTTTTTAAAAATTACTTTTAATTTTCATGTGCATACATTTGAGTGTAAGTGCCTGAAAAGGCCAGAGACATCACAAGTTACTAGTGGTTAAAAACCACCCAATGTGGGTGCTGGGAACTGAGCAAGGGTCCTCTGCACGTGCTCTTAGCCCTTGGTTATCTCTCTAGGCCCAACAATTGGCTCTTAGGAAGACAATGGGAATCCTGGAGTTCTGTAAATTCTCTATCTCCAAAGATAGAATAATAACAAAGGAAAACAGGTCATGACAAATTTTTTTTGTGTAGGCCAACTAAGTGACCATGGAAATTACTTTTGGATTCATCCTAATGTCTTCTTTGGGTTACTACAAACAATAGGCTCATTCCCCTATGAAGAAGCACCTCACCACAAGGATAGCCCATTGAACAGTTCTGTGGAATAGCCTACTATTATCTCCTTGGGAAAAAAGGCAGCTCCTTTGGGTCTTGAAAACAGAACAAGCTCCAGGTTGGGTCCTGATGCAACACTCCAACATAGAACCTAGGAGCTAAATAGAGCCTTAGTGATCAAGTACAGCATAAACACTCTGACTTTATAAGCAAGGGCCCCATGGGTTTGAAATGATGTGCTTATGCTCCTACAGACAGGTTTGGAACAGAATAAAAGGCCAGAAGCCTAGATTTCCTAACTCAATATTCAACCCCTTCCCTCTCTCTGTTGCTATTGCAGTTTTGGGGACTGAACCAAGGTCTTCTTGCATACCAGGTGTAGACTCTACCACTGAGCTACAACCCTAACCCTCCAGTCTTCTTTCAATGATTAGTGTCCCTGGGCAAACTGCTTAACACTTTACATTCAATGGTACCTCAAGAGCTTTCTATTTATAATTTATGTTCAGGGCAGACTTTATTTTAGCTATACGGTACCATTCACATCGAACTAAAGTTGTATATAGTTGCATAAAGACCTAACTATCTACCAATATCCACTGGCACGAGAATCTAATAAAGGGCTAATAACCTAAAACCAGAGGTAAGAGACTCTGGACAGCAAAGGTGACAAGCTGATAACATCTTCTTTAGGATGTTAGGATCCAGGGACTCATAAGAAATCAACATACTGGGGCTGGAGAGATAGCTCAGCAGTTAAGAGCACTGACTGCTTGCTCTTCCAGAGGTCCTGAGTTCAATTCCCAGCAACCACATGGTGGCTCACAACCATCTGTAGTGGGATCTGATGCCCTCTTCTGGTGTGTCTGAAGAGAGTGATAGTATACTCACATATATAAAATAAATAAATAAATCTTTTTTTAAAAAAGGAATCAACATACCATTTCCATAGGTATTTATAACCTCGAGACTACAGGTAATCAGCTCTGCATGTGGAATCTTCTACCCCCAAAACTCCCTTTTCTGCCCTAAAAAGGTCCAAGGCCCACACCAGCACATGGGCACAGTCTCCATTCCATGGTAGAGACTGTTGTCCTTTATTGTTAAGATTTAAGGACAATCTGCTTCCATAGAGATCTGTCTATTCTTGTATTTTCACATTGCCTCAATCAATCTCCAGCTAACACTTAATCCCTACTACTGTCTCCCACAACAACTGGCTATTGGCTTTTAAATAATGGAACGTAAACTAAGATTGCATGGTCAAAATTAAAGTACACATAAGCTAGCTACCTCTCAAATTGCCAGTTTGTCTGAAAGCAAATATCTGGTCATAGCTGAGACCTCAGGCAGAGAGTAAAACAATCACTAACCCAGGAAGACATTGGTGATAATTTTCTTGATCTCTATAAATCACTATAAAACTACAGTTTTGGGAAAGCTACCTTCCAACAGAAAGTTGATCTTTACATCACAGTACAATGTCTTTTTTGAACTTCTAACGTGCTAAATATCTAGCATGCTTTGATTCAGTCATTTCTTGCGAGTCAGTCACTGCCAAACTGCATTAGCCTACGGGCATTGTGATTTAGTCTGACCTGAAGCAAAGCATTAAACCCAGTGAGGGAGAACAGCTCAAAGATTTTAATCCACAGTCTTCCAGTGCTAGTAAGAATACAAATAAATTGGATATTAACCTCCTGTCTGCTAGAGTGCCTGAAAGCAGCTTTACCATGTTAGGAACTCAACACTTATTCAACTAAAGTGAAATAATTATAACACTTATATCCTTTAGAACCTGTGTTCTGCAAGGTCCTAGAATTTTTACATCTTTACCACAGAAGCTGTGCAGAGCACAATGGCTTCAGACTGAATATGGAAAAGAAAAGCCAGTCATTTGAACTTTGTATACTCAACTGACAAGTCACAAGTCACCATATCACCGGCCATCAGTGCAGAGTATGTCCCTCACAAAGATACCGAGAACCAAGGATCATACTGCAAAATAGGTTTGTGGGGGGTGGGGGGCACAGGACTGGACATACAAGCCTGTTTCATTTTTACTTCCTAACACCTGTTCTTCAGAACCAAACCATCAGTGTTGTAAACCAGAAGATCCACTGGTTCAACACTTGCGGTTCTCAGTTTCTCCCATCTCACTTATCCTAATGGCCAAAGGACCCACAACTTCACTACCCCCACCCCAACCCAGAAAGACAACACTGCCAAATGACAGAATAGAATCTACACAAGCCAAGTACTCTGCATGTAGCTTTCTCAAACTGTAGACTTTTACAGCTGCTACTTGCTTCTAAAAGAAATGAAGTTAATTCAGAAAGTACTCTGGGGACTACAGCTATAGCTTAGCAGTTAGGAAAGCTTGCTGCTCTTGCAGGGGAACCAGGTTCAGCTCCCAACACCCACACATGCTTGCTGCTCACAGCCATCTGATGTAACTCTAGTTTCAGGAGATAAGGCACTCTTTCTGGCCTCCACAGGTACACATGTGGTGCACACATACACACACACACACATACATATATGTGTGTGTGTG